AGTTTATTTATTTATTGGGCCATTTATACATTTCTGCTTTTATTTTTAATTATGTCGGTTTCGGTCCTCCATAGAAATGAGGCTGCAGCTAATCCAGGATCAGTGGGTCTCAGCAGGTTTCCTGGGGACAAACAGGCCTCCTGTATGAGTCCTGCTGGGTTCAGACTTAATGAACTAATCAATAGGATGGCTTTCATTCTCCATGAGCTGAATACATTACTCTAATTGTTCCTACTAGCTCAGCAGCTTTGCTCAGTGTTACAGGTGTCATTCCTGTCTACAGACACTAAATCCAAATAAACTGCTGTAATGTCTTTATAGAGAACATTTAAGCCTTTTAATGCGACAAAATGCAGAAATAGCAGCATTTAATGTTTTCTTTGGGATATTGMCCTTTTCATAACTGATAAGGTGTCAGGTTATGTTGCACTCATGATAATAGTGTATTAAAGCACGTACCGTTATTGCTTTTGTAAGTAACCACAGAAATCCTTCTGAGGACCATGGAGGAGCTGAGCATCGTCCTGGCTCCTTCACACTCATCATCTACTTTTATTAATATTCAATCGATTTTATGAAGAATAAAGTTACCTCAGCTGTGAACCACTCCAGTGATAGCTGGAGATCACTGCAGGACCACATCATTTGCAACCAGCAGAGACGGACCTGAGGTCATGATCTGCAGTGTTTGCAAACTAAATTGCAGTCTTTTTCATGTTCTGTCCTTTTTATGTAATAAATACTAGTAATGTTTCTGCTGTCCATCATCATTCTGTCTTCAAAAAGCTCTTTCTGGTCAAAATGTCTTCCATGAAAAAGGCCCAGTTTTATGTAAAAATATTATTACACCATGCGCTAATATTGCAAACCAAAAGTCTGCTACATGATTGCACAAAATGTACATTTACTCTTGTTAAAAAATAGTGAGATTTCAGTGCTGCATCCAGTTGTATTAATTTAAAAAAAAAAACTCCTCATGTAGCCTGTAATTACTTTATATGGGCCGCCGTTCTTCAGGTTGTGCTGCAGTGAAACCGAGGGTTTGTTTAAATGTTTCACGTTCATTTATGCATCCGATTTTCTCTTCGGTCTTATTCCCACATATTTGTAGGTCCTGATGATTAGCTGTAGACACGACCACAGAAAGGCAAACATTTTTGCCATGTGTCAGCATGTGTTTGATGTGTTGGCAAAATGTCTCATGAACCACTAGGAYGGATTTTATTAATCATTGATTGTACATTTATAACTGATAATCTTTTGGATTCACCCCATTCAGAATGGCTGCTTCAGCCAAACATTGACTGCACATCATTAACAAACAAAACAGCTACAACTCTATTAGTTTTCCAGATATTGCAAGGTTTTGCAATACATGATATTGTACATAAAGTCATTTCCAAGGTTTGAAYCAATCTGCAATAACCATGAAACTGAAGTACGATGAACAAAAGTGGAGCTGTGGTTGCTCGGTGGTCAGTGCCATGGTCTTATAATCCTGAAGCTGCAGCTTTGAGCCCAGGTTACATCAGGAAATGAATCAGTCATACAACAATTGCCAAATTCAATTAAATATGTAAATAAATAAGATTTTACCTACAGCTCATTACCTTGAGACACTGTGCACAAACCTGAACATGAGTTGTGTTTAAACAGAGTAGATGGAAAATCACAGCCTGTATACTGAAGCTAATGAGGCTTTTAGTTTCTGTCTCTCATGGTCTAAACGAAGGCGGTGTGTTGCTTTGCCAATCCAAGGATGAAAAGTGAGTTTTTAATTTCTTGTATTTCCCTTAATTTTGTCCCCCGTCTCAGTCAGGAGATAAAAAAAAGTCATTTTCTCTTCCTGCCCCTCTGATGATTGTTGTCTCCACGCCTCCGTCRTGTCTTTGATGTGTTCAGATCCTGCATGATCACAAAGAATCCAGTACTTCTCTCCGTCACGGCCAGCCTCAGAACTTAATGGTCAGATCCAGTCGAGCTCATTACATCACTGCACTTTTGGCAGCGAGAGTCCCTTTGACTTGGCAAACTGTGTCCGAACCTTTGAGGCAAAAACCAGTTTCTTGGTTACACAGACAGTACAGCTGGCTAGTAAACAATGTTTATACCCACTCTGTGGTTACTTGTTASTCCTACACAATTAACCAGTGTGTGTGTGTCCTTAATTAGACTTTCTCCATGTGACATTTTCCTCCCACGCTGTCAGCKCGCAGACTTCTAAACTGCTTGCTATTAACTGCACTCCTTCTCCTGTCAGCCTCGGCTRCATCATACTGGGTCCAATAAATACTCCGTCCTCTGAGAGGCAAAGGCAGATTTTTGTACGATGTTGTAGTTGCTTTCCTCTGAAGATGTTTGCTTTAAAGATTTGTTCTGCATCTGTTTCTTGCCAAAGCTGGGATGATTCAGCAGATAACTGCTCTGGAAAATATAAAGCTGTTCCACTGAGATGTACTTGGAGGATGTTTGTATGTAAAAAAAAAAAAAAAACGGGGTTTGACACAAAACATGTGCTCTGATAGTAGGAACACCAATGCTGACTCTGATGTTTGAGTTTTAGTCATTTTGTCCATCTCACATCTGCTCTGAGCRCTACACATTGTGCAAAATATTTGCTTAAGACTTTGGCATTAATTGTTGGTGTCTGCCCCGTTTGTTATCAAAATATCTCATTATCCACTGGACAAATATTAAGGAAATTCTCAAAAAGTCTTTACCAATTGCACATCCACAACTGATATACTTCTAGAGTCAATCTAATTAAAAATGACCCCACTAGCCTCCAAATAAATGTCTATAACTTAGTCAAATGTACAGATATTGAGTTAAAGTTGTATGTGGTAGTAGCTGAGAGTCATCCTCAGCACTTTGTCTGAGCAGAAACACATCTCTCCTGGTGGTGCATAATTAATTTAACTTACAATATTGGTCCAAAAAGGCTGTAACTCAGCTCCTCTTGTCTAAAGATGGAGGTTAATAATGTAACTGTGTGTGTGTGTGTGTATGTATATGTGTGTGTGTGTGTGTGTGTGTGTGTGTG